GGATTGTCGCTTAGCGACGATGCTGCCTTGGCTCTGGTGAGAATATTTCTAACCCCAAGAAGTAGAAGAGGAAACCTAGAGCAAGGGACAAAGACAATGTTGAAGCCGAAGAGTCGCCACATTGGGCGAAGGAGCCAATTTTGGCGAGAAGGGCAGTCGGAAGAGTCGCCTCATCGAGCGAAGAAGCCAATTTTGGCAGGAAGGGCGGCGGCAACTTGGTTGGCGAATAGGCCAGTGCGGCACCCAGATTCTGAAGGTAAATCTCTGCAAAAAGTTGATAGGTTTAGGTTAAGGTTTATGTGAAGGATGAAGGTTGATTGGGAAGAAAATGAGAGAGACTATATTGGAAACCAATTGGGTTGGAAAAGGTGAGGTTGTATGTACAGAGTATGACGAAAGGTGATTTGGAGGTCAATAGGGTGGAGCCGAAGAGTAATCAATCGACTCCGACTATGGCAGCCATGAAGACTGCCCCTGCGGCGTCAAAACCAGCAGGGGTGGTGGAGAAGAAGATTAGAGGATTCAAAAGCCATTGAAAAGAAAGGATCAGAGTTGTTAAATCGAAAGGGCTCTGATACCATGTGAATGTTTGATTAATCCTGTGAATGTTTGATTAATCCACCACACCTAAATGGTGTAAAAGTTATCTTATTTATAATCAAATGAATTACAAGGATATGGAAATAGTAATAAATGGAAATAACAATAAAGGGAAAGATATCTAGATAATAAGGCAAATATCTAATATTTGCCTTATAATAAAATATAAAATATAATATATATGGTAAACTATAATTTATTACTAAATATCCTTAACAAAGTGGCTACTTAGTTTTTGTCGCTAAATTAATAGTTGTTGTTACTTGGGCTTTGCTTCTCCCCGGCTCTCATCTCCCCGCTAGTGCTCCCCATACACATTATTACCAATATTTCCCCATTCAATTCTATGTTATCTTCAAGTTTATCTTTCCACAATGCAAATAAACCACACAACGCCTCATCACTTGCCCTCTGCCTGCTCAAACCACCAGATGCTTAGCTTGCTCAATCCACACTTTCTCATATTTATGCATCTACAACTCCACTTGCCATACTCTAATTTAGAAATAAATAAATAAATCAATAAATCAATAAATGTAACATATGATGTGGCTCAGATGAGTGGCTCATGGGGTAGCTACCTAGCTGTAATCAATTATTTTTGAGTTTGTATTGTATTGCATTGCATTGTAATATCCCGGGTGGTGGTGGAGGGTGGGGGAAGGGGATTTAGTTTCCAACGGAGGCCTTAAATCCATTTGGTGGGTGACACATCAGAAAGCTACCAAAAACATGGTTGTGGATGTACCCTTCATGGTACTTACAACAAACTAAAGATGTAGTGTTGTGTGTATTAGGGCTGAAGATGAGCACCCCAAATGTGCACATTAATAGAATACACAGCTATTAATACTCCAATCCCTGCCTCTTAATACCATCTCCGGTATTCAACCAACCAACTGGCAATTAAAGCTTAATTTAACCTCAAGTGAACCCACACTCTCACCCACTTGACTCTCTCTTCCCTTTTCTTCACTATAAAAACTCTCTCTTCCCCACCATTCTTTTCACACCCCACCCTTCCTTCTCTCCTTTCTCTCAATAACACTCCCCCATTCAGCTCCAATGGCCATTCCCCCCCAAACTCTGGCTTTTGTCTTTGGCCTTTTAGGTTCCATCCTCCTCCTCCTCCTCCTTTACTTAACTTTCATGCATGCTTTGCATGTAACGTGTCCTAATTTCATGTTCTTGTTTTGCAGGCAACATTATCTCCTTCATGGTCTTCCTTGCTCCACTGTAAGCGCTAACTCTCACCTCACCTGCCTTCTTGTGTGTATTAACCATGATGCTTAATAATGCAATGTTTTGGGCGCAGGCCAACCTTTTACAAGATATACAAGAAGAAGTCCGCGGAAGGATACCAGTCCTTACCCTATGTGGTTGCACTATTCAGCGCCATGCTTTGGATTTACTATGCCCTTCTCAAAACCAACGCAACCTTCCTCATTACCATCAACTCCTTTGGCTGTGTAATTGAGACCCTTTACATCCTTCTCTTCATATTCTACGCCCCCACAAAATTGAGGGTAACAAATTCCGCTTCTTCTTCTTCTTCTTATTATTATTGCAATTGGAAATAAATAAAGAATGAATGAAATGATGATGGTCATGATATGTCCCGCAGTTCCAAACGGCGAAGTTGCTAGTGCTGTTGAATGTGTTGGGGTTCGGGGTGATGCTGGCTTTGACTCTGCTGTTAGCCAAAGGAGAGAAGCGTCTCAAGGTTCTTGGGTGGATATGCTTGGTGTTCAACCTAAGTGTCTTCGCTGCACCCCTTTTCATCATGGTAACATAATTAATAATAATTTCCTATTAATTAATTAATTATCATCATCATCATCTTATTTACAATTGGATGCATGCAGGGCAAAGTGATCAAGACCAAGAGCGTGGAGTACATGCCTTTTGCTCTCTCCTTCTTTCTCACTCTCAACGCAGTCATGTGGTTCTTTTACGGCCTTCTTCTCAAGGACTATTACATTGCGGTAAGAGCAATTATTAATATTGTATTAATAATAATAATAATAATAATAACAATAATAATATAATCATAATTGGATGGTGCATGCAGCTTCCCAACGTGGTGGGGTTCGTGTTTGGCATAATCCAGATGATCCTGTACGTGATATTCAAGAACGCAAAGAAAGGCATCCCGGTGAAAGAAGAGCAGCAGCCAAAGGCGCCGCAGCTTCACGAATTGTCGGAGCAAATAATCGATGCGGTGAAGCTTGGGACGATGGTGTGCACAGAGCTAAGCCCGGTGGGGGTTCTTCAGCCAAGCATGGAGGTGGTGGACGTTGTGGTGGAAGCTGTGATTGACAACATTCAGAAGAAGAAGGAAGAAATAATTAGTTAGTTATTCTTAATCATGAATTGTGTTGTTCTTAATCATGATTAGTTAGTTAGTTAAAACCAGGGTGGTGGTCCGTCTATCAACTAATTAGTAGCGTAGTAGTAGTAGTATAGTAAGTAGTATTGGTTTTGTTGTCCCGTCCGCCGCAAGCCGGCCACAAGAGAGAGCTTAAACCCTCTCTCTTTCATCTATCTCTCTCGCTCTCTCTAATCATCTCTAACTCTTCATGTTTCCAAATCAAACCTCTTAATTCTTCCCTTTCTTTTATTTTCCTTTCATCCTCTGTCATAAAATCAATCAAAACATTACTTAATTAATTTACGTGGAAACGAACACAAATATGCAAACTTTGGTTCTTTTGATCGAATCGACAACACGTCGGTTAGTTGGGTTTATACGTCACGATATAATGATACAAGGGCCCAATGTGTGTAATTTGTAGCTTTCTAGATATAGATGTGAGTGAGCGTGATTGATAATCTATTTTGTCCCAATAAAATCATTCGGTTATCTAAAACAAGCCCAACATTGAATTCCATACAACTTACACGCATATTCCTAAACAAA